TGTGTGTGTGTGTGTGTGTGTGTGTGGCCAGCTCAGCCCACCAAGGGGCGGGGCTGGCTGGCATGTGGTGCTGGGGGATTGAACCATGATCCCTGTGTTTTGCTAAGCTTGTTCTAAGTAGGTGCTTTAGACCACTGAGCCATCCCACCAGCCCCATGGCCCACTCTTATATTTGCCCACTAATACAAAATTCACAGTTTTATAGAGGAATTGGATTTTCAGAGTGCCCTGTCCTTAAGTGCCAAAGTCCTGTTTGGCCTGGTAGTTTCATGAAATTTAAAGCCAACTGGCACTTAGCCCTCTCCTAGATTAAGCCTTCATGTTCAGCCATTAAACATAGCACTTAGCACATGGAGTTGGCAAGAATGCTAAGCTTATTTTCTGTTTCCTTAGATGTCTGAAATGGAACTAAAAGCCTTTGGAAGTGGCATTGATATAAAACCAGGCACACCTCCAATAGGCGGGAGAAGCACCACGCCGACATCTAGTCCCTTCCGGTAAATGGACATTTACATTGGCTTCTAAAATTTCAAAATAATTCATCACCACTTGTTTGTTAAATACTATATTGTCTATCTTTCATTGTATAGAAAAATACCTCGTAAGCCATTCAGCCATATAATTTTGTCTAAAATGTTAATGTGTATGTATTTTAAGAAAATATTCCAAGGCAGATGTAGCTAGTCTCCTCACCTCTCTCCAGTGTTTCTCAGCTACCAGATGTGATGCAGATGCCAAGAACAAGATCCATAGAAACTTAGTCATGTTGCTTGCTTAGCGTTACGTACTGACCAGTGATGTCTTCTTCCAAAGGGCTACTTCAACCAGCCCAAACAGCCAGTCCAGCAAAATGAACAGCATTGTCTATCAGAAGCAGTTCCAGTCAGCTCCTGCCACTGTGAGAATGACACAGCCTTTTCCTACACAGTTTGCACCCCAGGTAGGCAGATACACGTAAGGATGAGAGCCATGTACTTGCATATGAGCGGTAATTTGACTAAATCTCTGCTTTCATAATCTTACCATATCTTTAACCAGTTAAGAAGTATAATTTCAAATGAAAAAATTTCTGATATTAACAGTAAATTTGATATTCAAAAATATCAAATATTTGTTGCAGTTAATTTATAGTTAGGCACAGGTAGTAATTGTTTAGTTTTAAAGCAGACAATAGAAATACTTAAAAGATTCCCCACACAGCTCTGATTTGAGTCCTGTTTCTTTTACCATTTTTTTGAGGCAGTTGAACTTTTAAGTGAAGGGTCCCAGTGCTTAAGGTTTTCTAGGTTTAAAGTAGGGGTTTTTTTTGTTTATCATGGTTTTTGTTTAAGATACCTATGTTCAGCTGAAGTAAAAATTTCCACCAGCATAAACTGGTGACTTCTCGTCCCTTTGTTGATGATGCTGAGGGACTAAAACTGATAATAGTGCAGATTAGAATTGGTTCCTGAGAAGCACATTTGTTGAATCAGTATTGATTTTATTTATCTTCAGATGTTTGATATAGGTGTGTGCCTTTTCTACAATTACAATTTTTCAAAAGATACTTTAATAGCCTTTCTGTCCCTCCTATAGAAGTTCCAGCTGAGATGCTAGAACCAGCTGAAGTACCACAGCATGCTTTGCCTAATTTTTCTGTAAAATTCTCCAAGCATGACACATTTGTTCTTTGTTAATGAAATGGCACAGTCCATAAGCTTCCCTTCACTGGCAGGATGGGCACAGATTTACTCTGGGATAAGCCAACCTGGTCTAGTTGGCAGGGTTTTTTTTAACAGTTCGATGTTGTATGTTTTGTTTTTTCACTCAGATTCTCTCTCAGCCTAACCTGGTCCCTCCATTGGTAAGAGCCCCACATACTAACACCTTCCCAGCGCCTGTTCAGAGGCCACCAATGGCACTGGCCAGTCAGATGCCTCCTCCGCTGACCACAGGCCTCATGAGCCATGCTCGTTTGCCACATGTAGCCAGGGGTCCTTGTGGATCACTCTCTGGAGTCAGAGGTAATCAGGCCCAGGCTGCGTTGAAGGCTGAACAAGACATGAAGGTTAGTACAGCATTAACAGCCATCAGAGCAAGACTCTGTCTCTGAACCATGTCTTAAGCTGCTCTGGACCCATAACCGTGTGTCCAGGCATTCATTGTCTTAGCAGCAAGATAATGTATTTGTTCTTTTTTTTTTTTTTTTTAATTTTTATTTTTATTCCTCCCACCCCACCTTTTTCCCTTTTTCTGTCCCCCTCCCTCATTCCCCAGCTATACACATAAATTAAAATTTTATAAATTCCAGCCAAATGAACTGCGTAAAAAATAAGTATTTGAGGGAGATCTGAGTTTGGGTGCAGTATTTTTTTTAAATAGCAAAATGGTGTTGCAGATTATTATAAGCTTCTTCATTTTCTCCCCCCCTTTTTGTCTTCCTTCCTTTCCTTCCCCCCACTTCCCTCATACTTTTTTTTTTTAATCCTGGGAATCAAACTTAAGATCTTGTGCTTGCTAGGCAGGCGCTGTGCCACTGAGCTATAATTCAGGCCCTTATAATGTAATTATGGTTATGTGAAAACTGGAATGGGTAAGACTGTTGCTTCTCTTGATTTTTTTTCTTCGTTCACAAGTTATCCAGGTAGTTCCTCTTGAGCTGTTATCACGCCCTTCTCTCCCTGCCGCTTGGTGGCTGTGCTTCACAGTGGGTTGTGTAGTTTTTGATGAGGTCAGGAAAGCACTTTGGGATCCTTCTTGATGCACTCTTGTTTTTGGGGGGTTTTTGTTTTTGTCTTTTTTTATACTGGGGATCGAATGGGATCCTTGATGAAAGGCACAAATGTGAGGCTTGCTAAAGCAGAAGAGTGCCTTCAGGAGTCTGTGTGGGGACAGTTCTTACAGCGTGAGCCTTACCTGTCTGCCTGTACAGCCAGTTGGAGTTTGTGTGGACTGTAGGGTTGAGTACAGCGATCTCAGTGATTGACTGGTTTTGTCACTACATAGATGAGTGAAGAACACAGAAAAGCTTGCAGCTTACAAACAGGAAAATGTGAGCAGTGATGCTTTACTCTGAATGAGAAACATGTTTGTGATGATCTTACTAGAGAATTTAGTAGATTAATGAAAGTTTGTGTCTGCTTTGATGTCCTTTGTGTTTCTGATGCTGAGTAATCAAATTTAATGACTACCCTGCACTAAAACTCTTATTAAAGACCTGCTTTCATTAGGCTGTGTACCCAGGAATTCCATATATGTTATTACTAAAATTACTAGTATGCATAAAAAGCTTTGGAGGTCATTTAGCCTTGTTTACTAGTTCTGCTCCTGGCTTTTTTGGCACTTGATTTTCACACTTTCTCATTTTAGAAATGACATTAGAGCTTAATAATTTTAATGGGATGGGACAGTATATTGATACCTTCAAAATTGCTTTAGATGTTTGAATAGTACAGGTTACCTGTAGAATATGAAGGATTTTTTTTGTATGTGCAAGAGGTAGAGAAACTTAAGTTTTAATTGTATAAGTTACAATGGTATAATTTACAGATTGACGTAAGTATATTCTTTGGGGCACATAGTCATTAAAACTTAAATTATTTTACCAGCTCAGAATGTGGTAGGAGCTATCAGAACTTAGTGATCGAGTGAAGTTGTAGTTACTAATTTCTGATGCTCTTCCCCTGCAGAAGAGAGCTGTGGGAAGAGGACTCAGCCACAAGACATTTGGTCCTAGGTGTTGGTAATGCCACAATATAAGTGCTTCCTTTTCATTTCATTGTAGACCACATGTTGATAACTCAAAGTTTGAAGTATTACATGTATGTTTTCAGACTTGCAAGCACCCTCCCTGAATAAAATTTGGCATAGTGAGCTGTTCCAGAAAAAAATACAAACCAGCAGCAATTCTATTTTACTGTGTATAAGAGGGCAGACTCTGAAAATTGGTGGGAGGTGGTCTTCTTGCAGATGTTAAAAAATCACACAAAATGTTTCCAAAGATAGGAAGAAGTCTTTGCATTAAAAGCTGATCAATCAATGAGGTAATTTTGGCTTTAGCCAAACCAATGTGGGGAAACTGATTTGCAATTGGTAAAATAATTTGAACTGAGATTGATTTGACAGGCTTTGGTAATACTGCAGCATTTTCAATTACTGTTTCTCATTTTTTAAGGCAAAACAGAGAGCAGAGGTTCTTCAGTCCACGCAACGGTTCTTCTCTGAACAGCAACAGAGCAAACAGATAGGAGGCAAAGCCCAGAAAGTGGACAGTGATTCCAGTAAACCTCCTGAAACACTCACAGACCCTCCTCTTCCACAGACCCTCCAGGAAAAAGTGGAAGAGAAGCCACCCCCTGCATCCACCATAGCCACCAAACCTGTCAGGACTGGACCGATCACACCTCAGGCGATCAAAACCGAAGAAACAAAATCTTAAAGGACATGGCTTATTGCAGAGGATTGGGGGAGGGGGAAGAGAGGTGGGGAGGACGAAGTCAGATAATGCCAGCAGCCACGGCGCTAACGTGGTTTGTGACATTATCCTGTGTAGGGCTTGAGGACATAGGAACAAAGTACACTGGCATGCAGCTGCCCACCGGTCAAGGGAGGCTTTGCAAGCTTGCCTCTGCTATATAACGTTCACTTGGTTGATGGCCATGTATCTTCAGTCAGAATTTTGTAAACAAGTACATGCACATACTCCTTAAGTGCATATTAATTTGATCCAAAAGTCTTTATGGTTAAATGAAAGCCCAGTAATAGGAAAATCACACCACACAGGAATAGCTCAGCCTGAATTATGGCAGGTCCCAGCTAATACATCCGATACGGTTTCTTCACTCCCTGGCGTTCTTTGGGTATGGTTATAGTGTTTGTAGGCTTCCAGGTGAAGATCTGCAGATAACTGGTGCTGGATAGAGGAGCCTTATTTTTTTTCCTATGGCAGCTTGCTATTTTTGTAACATGGTGATTGGGTTGAACAAAATCAAAGTACAGTAGTAAGTGATCCCCCTTCTTCCTGGATGGGCAAGCAGATGACTGAACATCAATGTCCGCGTCCTTGGACATCCCCAGATGAGCGGTGTGTGCCTACGACTTCTCTTTGAAATGATGCAGTGTTTGGTTGTGGTCCGAAGCTCCCAAGCAGTACTGCTCGGCATCTCCTTTCTCCAGTGGAGCTGTTACCTTTCAGATTTGATAAAATGCTAGTTAGGTTGAATATTGCTTGCCTTCTTCACTCATTCATCTTTGTATGAGTCGTCTTCTCTCCTCCCCTCCCCTCCCCATTTCTTGTTTTTGCCCCAGTTTTTAAAAAACAGTTTTTAGCTGGTGTTCATGAAGAGAGTGAGTAAACTGTGCTGTTAATGGAACCAAATGCTATCTAAGGAAGTGCATTTCTTTACAGAGCTGTGTCAAATCATCCTTTGGGCCCTCTGCTGGAAAGTAGAATCAAGTCTGAAATAATGCCTTTTTAATTGTAGCCTTTAGTATTATAGATGTAGGACAGTACT